GGACTCAATGGGGCCAGCGCTGACTCTGAATAGCAGTGTCCCCAGGGCCTGGGGTCTGAGTAAGTGCATTTTGTCTGCCCCCATTAGATAGCTGCTTCTAAAATTCCCAGCTAAAGCTGTAAAGGGAGGACAATAGAAAGATGTTTCTAGATCTTCATAACTACAAGTAGCTCTGCCAGCAAATATGAGTCTCCCTGAAATGTGTTTCCAATCCCTTTGCATACAGCTTACGAAGACAAATCTTTAGAGTGGCAGGAGGGGGTCTTGCAGAGTCATCAAGTTTTGGGGGCCGTGTTTCCAAACAGACCCAAGTGAGTGTAAAAAATGATCCGCGTGAATGTGAGGACAAAGGCAGAATGCCTTCAATATTTTGAGAAATTTGAAGGAAAATATTCAGGAGCATGAATGCAACTATCCTTAATTAAAAATAAACCACTTCAATAGGCGTGATGCCTTCTGTGTCTGTGGTAGGGCCAGGACCAAGCTCTCCAACCTCACACGAGAAGCGCTGAGCTATCCCCAAGGCAGGCGCACCAGGAAGGAAGGTGGCCGATGCTACAAAGCTGTAATGCGACCTCTCTCTCAGTAACAGCATTGTCTATCAAACATCCACCAGAGTTGCCCACACTGCTTTCAGAATCATGTGTTGATCTATGTGATGTGGGACCATTTTTGAAATTATAAGACAAATACAGGGGGGGCTGTGGCATCCAAAGCCTGGACTGGTTCTCAGTGATGACCAAAACCTAGGCAGGATACAGAGACACACCAGTATTGTCAATCCTCTATTTCCTATCCCATCAGAAAGTTTAAGCTTAGCATGCCTATTAATTTTTAAACTGAATTAAGCTGGGGAAATAACAAAGAAAACAATCATTTAATGAGTGATAAGTTTGTGAGAGGAACTTTCTATAACTTATATGCTTAACTGAACTCCTAAATCGCTTTTGGGACAAGAATTCATAATCTCATGTTAAAGATCAGGACACTGACTGTGGGAATTCCAGGTATTTATCTGAGTATGCTACAAAAAACTCAAGAGACAAAATGAAACCCATATCTGACAGACTCAAAACAACTTGCAGTACTGTATGTCACAATTCAAAGTGTTCCCTGGTAAAGTTAACAAAGTAAACTGCTCCGACACATAGTTATGTCTCATACATATGTAGTAAATAAGCTTTAAAAGTATGTTTTCCTACCTTTCTGTTTACATCTTGATGAAGTAGAACAATATTTTGACCTTCACAATGGGAGAGATGGTGCCTGCCCAGCTGCGGACCTCCCCGAGGTCAGTTCCTAAGCCCTACTATGTCCCTGACTATAGTAACAACTTTATATCTGTAAGATACGCAGCACATATTACCACAGGCCCTTCTCACAGCCTAGCATGGTAGATTAAGACTTCATTCATTCATGCATTCATTCATTCCCTGTACCTTACATATTTATTTAATTTCTACTCGCTGTACCTGAAACTATACTAGATACTTAAAGACAGAAAGTTCTGGCCTACAGGCATTCACAGATCTGTGCGAGAGCCACTGATTATATGAAAAGTAAGATAAGTAAGCTCTCCTCATATTCAGTTTACGTAACCTAAAAACACTAACTTTCTTTCATTATATTTCCTTTCTTCCCTCAGTTTTACAGCCTTAAGTTCCATGGGTCTTGTACTGCCTTTGAAAAAGTGTGCATTGTGGAAGATAATCAATCTCACCCCCACCATGCCCCATCACCAAAGTATCCCTTAGAGCAAAAGGAGAGATTTCCAAAATGGACCTAAAATAAAATGAAGGAAAATAATGTTCATCAATTATCATTGCACATCGTTGTCACAAACATCCCTGAATCAGACACTGTACTGAGTGATTCCTTAGGACTCAGCACCAGTATCTGACCACTGCCAGAAACCTGTGGGCTCTTTCCAGTCCCAAAGAGACCACACTCTCAGTCTTGTCTCACCTATGCTCAGTAAGCAGGTGTTGGATGGCAAAAGAAGCAGGCTGGGCAGGCTGGGGTCTTCCCTTCCCCAGAGTTGACTAGCGAGGGCAGGATGGAGCCATGGCACAGGCCTCAGTGATTCCATTTGTCACATGACAGTCAATGAGACACTTCTCAGGCTGAGGCCCCATGTGAAGAATCTGCCCCTGAAGAGTTAGGGTGTTTGCTTGCTTGCTTCTTTTTATGGTATAGGGGATTCAACCTAGGGCCTTGCATCCAGCTACATCCTTCAATCTTTTTTATTTTCTATTTTGAAACAGGGTCTCCCTAAGTAGCTACGTTGTCCAGCCTAGGCTCAAACTTGCAGTCTACTTCCTCAGCCTCCTGGGGTGCTAGGATTACAGTCATGTGCCACCACACCCAGCCTCTGAAGAGTTTTGAATCCTGAGGCAAATATTACTGTCTGAGGGTGAAAAGGGCAGAAAGAGGGAGGTCACTGTCCAGGTACAGTTGAATATAAAACAACGTTGACAAACCAGACAAGACACGGCTTAGAGGGGCCAGGAGTCAGGAATATGGATGCCCGATACAAGGAGTCAGAGGCAGACACAGTGGCAGGTGTGTGCATAGGCTGCCTTGGGCCCAGGAAGACCAAGGAGTTCACACCTGAGCCAGGTCTTCAAGGCTGTGGTCTTCAAGGTGAGCCACACAGGAAAGTCTGCGGAGCAGTGAGGCAAGAGCCTGGGGACAGGGGCAGCAGGGAACAGTGCTGGGAGGGGAAGCAGAGGTGAGGGAATGAGGGGTCTCGAGTGCCAGTTTTTCCTGTGTCTCTAAACAGCCTGACTGATTTTAGGAGTCACCGGTGTGATGGCATCTTCTGCAGCCCTCCCTCATCATTAGGGAGCCCCAAGAGTCATAGCTATCCTGCTGCCTCCCCCTCACTGGTCTCAGGGTGGGGAGTTTTTTCCTAAGACAACCTTGAAACCATGACTTTTGTTGGGCACAGCTCAGAGTGCTGGAGCCAGTGAGGGTCGGCACAAGACTAGGACACAAGGAGGAAACAGGACATGAGGCCTCTGGAGAGGTTTGCACCAACCACAGGGACCTGACAGGGGTTTGCAGAGACGTGAGAACTGGAGGCAAAGCAGAGGGAAAGGGACTTGGGATGGATCACACAGGAGCTTGGGAAGGTGCCCTCTGTCCCTGCCCTCTGCCCCTGCCCTTGTCATCAATAGGAGAAGCCCAGGTCGAAGCCCAGGTCCTAGGGATGCCCTTAAGCTCCCCAAAAGCTGTACCATGGCCTTTTTCCAAGAAAAGCCAAGCTTGGATAACATAAGTGAACATTTTTAGGAATTGCCCGGCTGCCCACAAGTGCATTTGGTGAAATGGCATCACCTTGAAGCAGGGAGGGAAGTAAATTGCAGCATTTACAAGCCAAGGCAAATGTTCAAAGGGCACTCGGCACAAAGAACAGATGGCTGATGGGAAGCCAGCGTGCATTCTGCCAACACCCACAAAATGCAGATTTCTTAAGTGCTTGAAGGCCATTTATGGTCTGAGCACCCAAGAATTGACCCCTTTAAGCTCCTGGGTCAGAGAACACTGACTTGAAGTGTGACCACTGCATGCTGGATCCCATGATTTTGTATCCTTCTCCCAGGAAATTGTCTTGTTTTTCTATTTTTACTAAGACTGAACCCAGGGCCCCTGCCCTGAGATACATCCTCAACCCTGTTCTGAGACAGAATCTCACTAAGTTGTCCCGGAAGGACTCAAAGTTTGGATCCTACTGCCTCAGCCTCCCAAGTGCTGGGATTACAGACATGCACCACTGTGTCCTGCTAGGTATTGTGAAGTGTTTTTTATTAAAATTTTAATTTTATTGGTACAGATTTGAAGTACATAGAGATTACATTGCTTGTGAGGAGTTGGTACATGTATATAATACATTTTAATTCTTCTATGAATGTGCCACCTCTGGCTTATAAAAGCCAATCATACTCTTTCTACCTTTTTATATAATGTGAAAGACAGGAAGCCAGGTACAGTCAACGGTCTGCCTGCTGCAATCCAAGCCAAAGCCAAAGAAGGAACACCTGTCATTCACATTCTTAGCTCTGGATACCAGGAATTTACCCACACCCTAGGAATCTTAGGACTACACATGTGTCATTAAAAATCCAATTACAGATGCTCTAGAGGGAGTTCTCATAGCATTTTTCAGCTCTCAGAAACATCTTTGTAAAACTGTATTTCTAACTACTTCTCCCACATTTACTGAGGTGTGTAGAGGAAGCACTCATCCTAGTAAAGTCCTTTAGTAAAATGATAGAAAAACAGAAACACCCAATTGCTAATAGTCAATCAAGGAGAAAATAAGGAGACAGGATATATTTGCATTGAAATGTTCACATTCACTTATTTCTGATTTCTTTAGTTATTTTCCCATACTGGGGTGTTTTGTTGAAAACTGCATATACATTGTCAAAATTAAAAATTATTATATACTCCTTCCAAAATCCAAATCAAGTTCCAGAACAATATATGCTAAAAAAAATTACCACGTTAGTCATATGAGAACTTGGTTCATTTTTCTGCCTTTCAAAGATTCTAATTTGGAGCCTACTTAAATAAGTGCTTTCTAACTATAGATACATGGATGGATAGATGAACAAATAGACAAATGGAGGAATAGATGGATAGAGAGAAGAATGGGTGAATGGTTGTGTGGGTGGGTGGGTGGGTGGACGCACAGATAAATGGATAAGGGGGTTGGTAGATAATATTTGGTTAAAGTTAGAAATAAGTACTTAGTTTTCAGAGACATGTACCCTCACACAAAGAATAATATCCCCCTCTAAAAGGAATAATAGCAAAACTACACACCAAATTTCACCTTCGTGGAGAACACATTTTCATATACAAACTTATTGTCACATAGAGATTCTAAAGTTAGTGTATTGTGGAAGAAGATCATTTTACCATACTTGGTCTTGGTTTAATTATTAAGTTGATAAATAATCTTAAGGCCACCCTGAAGATGGTATGTCACTTACCCTGGGAAGTAGCTGCTGAAATTCTTCTTGTGTTTGAGATGGACAGGGTACTGGCTCCAGAGAAGATGTCTGAATCTGTTAAAAAGAAATCAGTCTCAATTCTAATGGCAGATAAGCACCCAGGTCTCTTGAGTAGGACATGCCACATTGCATTTCACAAAAATAATATACTTACTTAGGGACATTACAATGAATTTCAGGATTTCTGAAACTAAAATATAGTCTTACATATTTACTTGGTAATTGATAAAGCTTCTCCCTATTCAAGTACATACAGTAATTATATTTGTCTAGATTCTCTGAAAATGCCCAAATTGTATTCTTATTTTGCACCATTTTTAGATGAAAATCATTTTTGATTCTTGAAATTCTTCTTATAAATGGATACTAGCAATGGACAGTGCGCACAACAAACAGTACTTACACACACTTATTTATTGCTTCTCAGAATATCTAGGTAAATTTTCAGAATAACTGGTCACAATCAGGATGAACCAGCTATCAAGAAAAATAACTTACAGCTACAAAAGTTGAACTAATATTTTTACAACTTCAGATTCATTGAAAACTGGGTTAAGTCAAATTAGTTTACATTTAATGTGATTGTGATTGTTTTGCCTTTTCACCTTGGGAGAGCAAAAATATTTTGACTCTGTATAGATCACTAACAAATATTGTTTCCACTTATGCTGAAGAAAATGAAGATCTCCACAGTAACTATCTGCTACAAACGAGAGTGAAATATAACCAAGCTCACTGTTAAACTAAAAAGCCCCCCAAACTGTGGAAAGATAAGTAAAAAGGAAAATTCTGAAGAAGTGAAAAATAAAAAGAGTAAAAAATGCCCAGATGATGATTTCCCCAAAAACCTTCCTCATGTGTTTCTGATACATGTCTGATGCTTTTAAAACATGGACCATTTCTTAACCCTGCTATCATAGGCCCACTATCACAGTAATTGGCTTTTTCTTCCATCCTTACTGAAAACATCAGCAAATATCCCTGTAGTAGTGTAGAAATTACAGCTTCCTCCTCCCACATTTAAGGGCCGTGTTTGTGAACAAAGTGGCATGGACTGAGCTTTTGAAGGACAGCCCAGTATTTAAGGTTTATAGCACACATCAATAGAGTGAACTCATGCTCTCAAGTCTAACCTGATGTTGCTCTAAAACCAAGGCAGCTAAAGGAAAGGATTCAACCCTGTAGATCCATTGAAGGGTGGAAGACATGCTGGGGTTGTTGCTCAGTGGTACAGCCCTTGCCTGGCATCCATGAGACCCTGTATTCAATGCTCAAAATATATCATCATTATGATTTTCAATCTCAAAATTAGCATGTTCTTACTTACAGACCAGAAAGGGGCAGGAGACTCTTGATAGTAGTTGCAGCCTCAGTATATATGGGGTAGATAATGATCTCAACTCACAACTCATCACTAGTTTCACAGGGGTGGAGAAATATGACATGAGCTCCGTTCCTAATTTCTAAGCAGGCTCCACACAGTAAACCCTACTATTGTCTGCAGGGGAGGAAGGGTCTGGGAAGGGTCACCCTAGGCTAGTGTGCAAAGTGAAAGAGACTGTCTCAGAAGAAAGCCTCCTGGTGATGAGTCAACATCAGGCAGTCAGTTATTAACAGATCTAGAAGGTGACAGTTAATTAAATCTGGACATTTAATTGCCTGAGCTGAGTTTTGTGTACAGAACCCTGGTTCTCAAACTTGGGCCTGCATGAGAATCCCCCAGGGACAGGGGCCTGTTTAAATCCATTCAATAAGCTGGGCACAGTGCCACACTGCTCAAGACCTACTCAGCTGATCTGCTTGGTGCTCTTCGGAAAGCTAAGGTAAGATCACAAGCTTGAGCCCAGCCTGGGCAACTTAGTGAAACCCTCTCTCCAAATAATAAATTAAAAGGGATGTGGATGTAGTTTAGTGTTACAACACCTCTGATTTAATCTCCAGTGCCACAATAAACAAACAAACAAACACACACACTATTTGCTGGCTGCAACCCCAGAGTTTCAGATTAGGAGGTGGTAGGCCTGGGAATTTGCATTTCCAACAAAATCCCAGAAGCACTTGCTCCAGACCACTAAATCTTTTCCTTTAGCTGCCTTGGTTTTAGAACAACATCAGGTTAGACTTGAGAGCATGAGTTCACTCTATTGATGTGTGCTATAAACCTTAAATACTGGGCTGTCCTTCAAAAGCTCAGTCCATGCCACTTTGTTCACAAACACGGCCCTTAAATGTGGGAGAAGGAAGCTGTTATGGGATTAATGGGACTTTTGCCTTTGGTAGTGGTGGTGAAGGGTTTATCCCAGTATACTTAGGAAACCTCCAACTCTGGAGCACGGCACATCTGTGCTCACAGTGATTCACCAGGAACCTGCCAGGGTAGGGGGACGACAGGGGTGTGAAGACCAGGACTCCAGGCTGCTGTTGTGCTTGCATCTGCTCAGCAGCCTGGTGGAAAAGAGCTTGCATTTGCAGCAGAATTACCCATGATCCCATCTGACATCCTCAGAGTGGTTCTCCAACAGCGAAGGATGACTGTCCACCTGCACCAGGCAGGAGCCCTGTGAACATGTCCTGGTACTGCAGAAATATTGATGAGGTAAAGTTGAGGATTAGAGAGCTATTGAAATTGTGCTGCCAATATAATCAGCCACTCCTCCACTGTGAATCTTCCATGGAGGCAGCTCTCACAGTGGATTGCTGCTTTTGGGGTGTTTTTGTGCCCAACAAAATCTCAGCTTCTCTACTGGCAGCATCACTCACATCATGCCAGTCTTTGGAGGTGAGGGGCTGCCACTCCTATGAGACAAGGCTGCTCAGGAACGGCTCATCATCCCTGTGGCCAGGTCTCAGCACATCACAGACATTCCAGGATTTGGGGAGTTCAAGTAACTCAGCAGAATCAAGGCTATTGGTTCAATTTTATCCAGCATTTCATACCAGTGATTGTGATCACATAGCCTCTCAAATCGCATTATCCTGAACCCCATGCTTTTCTTAGCTGTAAACTGCACACGATGGGGCCCCATCACATCAACAGGTGTGAACCCCATTTCCCTCCCACTGCCTTAGACCCACTCCTCCGAAGGAGTGCTGGCTAGGCTCACTACATTGTCCTGCTTGTTGACAGTTGTGAAGGCAATCACCTTAAACTCATTTTGGATTTAATTTCAAATGGCACTTCTACTCTTTTCATGTGAAGAGTCTGGCCTCCTTTGGGTTTATTTTTTCTCACCTTTCTGTGAAGTCTCCTCAGGCAGCCCCTGAGCCCCGTGCATGCAGAGCAGCAGATGCAGGGGCAGCTGTGGGGATCTTGCCACCGCCCAGGGCCAGCCGGATTAAAGGCAGTAGCTTCCTCACAGTTTGGTGTGAGCTGCACCAGCCTTCTTGGGTTAAAACCAATTGCAAATTCACCTGAGGGTCCTTTGCAGAGGGTTTATGGGAAGATACATGCAGCAAAGAGGGATGGCCAGAAAGAGACTTTCAGCAGTGAAACGCACTCTAAGTCATTTCATCTGTAGATGTTGATATCAGAATCAGTGGGCCCCCAATCACTGGTGAGAAGGAGGGACTTCTCCTTGCACTGTCGGCACATCTGAAAATTCCCTGCTCTTCCCTATAGGACCATGTACTTTTCCTGCAGGACTGTGGGTTTGGAGACAGGATGTGTTTGGATCCAGGTTCCACTCTGTATAAACCTGATTACTCCCAGCAAACATGTTATCAGATTGTCTTAATTTCCATTTCCTCTCCTGTAAAGTGGGTTTGCCAATGGGGCACGTGCTGTACCATTGCATGGGTTTTGTGTGAAGATTAACTAGGATAGTCCATGAAAAATGCTTCAAAAATCATGGAGAATATTTAGTGTTCTTACTTTAGTCATTTGCCTGGGCCCGTATTTTACTGCCTTAATAAGAGGTGAAACCATTTTTCTACTAATCCAATATTTTATACTTGGCATCTTTTATTTTTGGCTCATTCTCCAAAGCCTTTTCCCATAGTGCTGTAACTATGGGTAAAATAGATGGTTCTGCAAATAAGTAGTATTTAAAGTTGACTGTGGGTTTCTTCTTTTTATAAAATAATGTTAACATTCCATAAAGAGCTGTTTGAAAGCTGCGGCATTACGCATGACATTGCTACAGGGTTTCTGGTGGATACATTCAAACAGTCACCTGAACTGAATGTTTCCGGAGTGTGGTATGTTTTTCACATCATGTTTTTTTTTTTCCTAGTTGCTTTTATCTGTATTTAAATAATCACATATTTTGAATGAATGGAATATTAGATTCCACCTAGTGAAACTTCCTTTTCAAACCACAGTTCTGGTGGGTGGAAGGATGGTGGAGGGGACAAGGAGCACCCAGTTTCACAGTACATATGCACACGTCTATGTTATCGAAGGTCAGCCTGGCCAAGGCTATGCTAGGTGTCAGCTATCAAACACACACATACACACACACACACACACACACACACATGAAATTCCCCTCATGTTTCTGGTCTCAGAAGCAGCTTAGGATGAACATGAAATGCATATATTGCATATTGTCTTAGTGGAGTTGCCTTCACAAAGTAAAATGGACTGAGTGTTTTAAACAGCAAAATTGTACTTTGTCACAGTTCAGAAGGCTGGAAGTGGAGCTCAGGGAGCCAGCAATTCCTAACAAGGCCCCTTCCAGGTCCCCACACACAGTGGGAGGGGAGCATGCTCACTGGTGTCTCCTCTTACAAAGACACTACTTCCACCATGCGTGCCCACCCAGGATCTCACTGAACTCAGCTGCCCCCTAAAGAGCCACTCTAAACACCACCATGTTTGGGGTCAGGGCTCCAGCATATGAATTTTGGGAGTAGAGAGGGTTCAATGTGGTCCACAGCAGAATTACATAAAACACCTTTTACCATAAATTACTGAGAACTGCAGGTATCACATATCAGGCCAACCCCCCAGATGGGGTTGTTTCCTTCTTCCCCGAGTGAATGTTCTTAGCACTTTTCCCTCCAGTGCCACTTTCTTTTAAAAAGAACTATACTTTCATCCTCCTCTTAGAAACCACCACAAAATATTGTAAGTCTTCAAACAAAAATTACCCCATGGCAGGCTGGGGATTTAGCTCAGTGGCACAGCACCTGCCTGGCAAGCGCAAGGCTGTGAGTTCAATTCCTGGTACAGGAAAAAAACCAAAACCAAAACCAAAAAAAAAAAAAAAAAAAAAAACTATCCCGTGGTTGCCAGCAGTAAATACTTCCCTATGCATATTGACAAAGAAACTGCTTTTGGGTCTCTGAACAGAAGAGGAACCAGAAATAACATAAGAAACACTGTTGATGCCCTCAATTTCTGCAGACATAACAAAGATAGTGATTGTTTTCCAAAGTTCCAGATTTCTAACACTAAGAAAAACATCATTTCTGGTTCAACGTGTAAGACTTATTTTGATTCAGAAGTGTTAGATGGGACCACAGTCACGATAAGTGAGTGAGTCCACAGTCACGGTGTCATTTTGTCTTCTGTCCAGAAAGTGCAGTGCAGAAGATGAATGTTCACTGCAAATTAAACTTTCAGGCATCTTCAGCCATCTGACTGACAGACTGGCCCCAAAAATACTGCCCTGTCACACAAATTGAGAATGATGTTCTCCTTACACACAAGTGTGAGGCCCAGCCCCTCCTAGCCACGCCAGAGAAAACATCTCATGGACTGTCCACGGGCCAAGCACAACAGAAAGAGCAAAACCCATCAAACAGAAAGAGCATGCCCTCTGCCAAGTACCTCTGATTACTGTGAATGGCCCAAACAATATTCTTAGTGTAGAAAGAGTTCAGAACACACTATACCAAGTTGTTCACAAAAAAAAAATTGACAAAATAAAACACTTTCAGCAGCACAGAGTCTTCAATTTCATCTTTAAATTTTTACCAGGTCTTTTCACTTGGACCCTTCTGATAATAAGCTCCTAAAAGAGCCATTATTGTCACTCCTTTCTGAAGTGATGGGGGGATCACCTGTTGGGGGCAAGGTCAGGAGTCAAATCCAGATTTCCTTATATCAAAAACTGAGGGTTTTTAAAAAATAATACTGTTGCTGCTATGGATGAGAAGAAATAAAATAAAAATCCAACAGTAAGTACATAAAAGACCTAACTAGTGACGTGCACACTAAAATGCATTTTATAATGTTCCGCATCGCATCCTCAGCGTTCTTTCTTTAATGTTTGAATTGTGATGCTCTAGCTTAGTGAGGATGGTGACACAGCACTGAGGTGACTTAGCTTTGGAGGGAATAGAAATCCAAGGAATACAAAAAGATGGGAAGATGGAAAGCATGAGACGGATCAGAAGTCTTCCACCTCCATGTCCTGCAGCAGAGCGCAGCAACAGATGGAGGCAGCAAATGAAACCAGCTCTGCAGGTGAGCAGCAGCCTCACTTAGCAGCAGCAAAGCCTCCCCTTCCATACAGGTCATCTTCTAAGGCCACAGAAAGCCTAATTTCCATATGAAGCCTTCCTATATCAATTGCATTCTACTCTGATTTTATATAATGAAGGAACAAGAATAATAGGCCTTTCTTCTCTTCAAACGAGTCCTAGTTGATTATTTTTTTATTCTTAGATATGGTTTGGACCTAGCATAGGCCCAAAGGCACAGGTCCCCAGTGCAGATATGCAGAGGAAGTGAGCACTTTTGGAAGGTGATCAGTTCTTGAGGGCTCTGACCTCATCAAGGGATTAATCATTGATGGGTTCACAATTTGATGGCATCATTGGGAGGTGGTGGGAATTTAGGAGGTACAATCTACAGTTGAAAGAAGTAGGCCACTGGCAAAGTATCCTTTAAAGGGTATCTCTTGTTCCTAGCTCTCCACTCCTCTCCTTCCCTCCCCTCCCTTCTTTTCCCTTCTCTTCTCTTCTCTTTCTCATCTCTTCCTTTCTTTTCCACTCCCTTCCACTTCCGCTCCTTCCTTGGCACTTTGCTGTACCATACTGGTCAGCCATGATGTACTACCTCACCACAAGCCCGGAAACAATGAGGTTAAGAGAACATGGACTGAAACTCCAGAACTGTGAGACAAAATAAAGCTTTCCACCTTTAAATTTCTTGCCTTAGTTATTTTGTCACAGTAAAGGAAAACTGACAAAAAGATGCATCACTTTAATTTTATGGTTCATTTTTACTGCATATTCTGTCTCCCTAGACCTACCAAGCCCTTTTTGAAGGCAGAATCATTGCCATCTCCTTTTAAAAAACATCTTCCAAAGGAAGTTATGTAAATGATGCAAAATTACTTTTGTGCAATATGAATTTAAAACTGTCTGTTATACCAATGGCTTTACTAAATGAATATTTTAATGCTAAGTAATAAAAAAAAGCTTGGAAAAAATTCCCTAATATAAATGAAAATGTACTGTTACAGAACAAATTCTTTGTTCCTAGGAGAAATCTCACCCATTTTCCCTGGCAGGGCCACTTATCCTGATCAGCATTGACCAATGACCTGGTTTCTCTTCTTCTAGGAGCTGCCAGAGGCCAGTATCTGGGATCCAACACTGGGGAGAGATATTTGAAGGTTATCATTCAGCCAAACTTGTCATTTAAAAAAATGCTCCTTATCCTGTAAGGAGGAAAGAATATTAATTCACACTGAGATACACTACCTAATAATATTTAGCATCCAGCTTAATAGCTGAAAAGCAAATTCTTCCCTTTGGCATAAAACTAGAAATTTACAGTCCTTTCAAGGATGCAAGATTTGTGGAGTTTTTCAGCATTCAGTGATATTATTCACATACATAATCGCTAGTGGATATTTGTGTTTATCACTATGTCAGAGTTAAAAATTTTACTAGTAAGTTATTAATTCATAAAATTCTAGAGAAAGTTGACTATAGAGACAAAACACCCTTTAAATATTTTATTTAAACATTTCAAAATTATAATCAACAATATGTGTATTCACCTATTTGAATTCAAGTCTGATATTTTCTAGAAAATGGCAGTGTTTGTCCTTTGTACTTATGAACAAACTGTTAACCCATGCTCAGGGTCCCATGCTGAAGTCTAGTCCATGACTAGAAGAGCTTTTGATTGCCAATTGATCATGAGAGTTCCAGGGACAGTGAGAAGGATGTCATCTTCAGAATGGCTACTCACAAAATATAAAACATTTATTGGTGACCAAGAGCAATGTTTTTGATGACAGATACTCTTTAACACTGACCACAGAAATTGCATAAACATGGTTTAAATAGTAAGAACAGTCACATTCTCTACCTCCTATGTCTACTTGAAGACTTTTCTTCAGGGCTCCCCAGCCTACAGGCTGTGAGTGCCTGTGCTTTCTGACCATTCCACTGTTACCATGCCTTGCTCAAGCTCAGGGGCCTGGGTGCCTTCCTTTGTGTTGCCTAGGGAGAGGAGCAGACCTCCTACAGGATTCATGTACACACACGAAGAGAGCAAAAGGCCCTTTTGTTCAAGGCACCACATCAAGGCATCACCCCAAAATTTTCACTTGCATTTTTCCGTTCTCAAAAAAATAAGTTTACTAACACTGAATGTTTAAATCTTCTCTGGAAGGTAACTTTCATGTTGGATTACTTAAGAAATCTGCAAGTGTTAGGCATTTTTTATGAGAGCAGCACTCTAACACTATACAGAGGAATGTGAAGGCTAATATTGCCTGTAAAACCCAGAATTTGGGTAAAGGCAAGGAATCTCAGAGAAATGTGCCTAGAATGTCTGTCAAGGATATCAAGGTGAATGCATTATCAACTTTTAAAAAGTTATATTCCCCAGAAAGTATTTTCCCTCAGCCTTCTGTTGAGCAAAAAGTTATAAAATCATCTTTTTCATGGTCATCTCTGTACCAGCATTACCTGTATCTCTGTTCCTATTCAGAGTGAATGTATAACAAATATTTAAGCACAGACCCAAAGGATTCCATCATAGAACACTGCAGGCCCCAAGAAGGTAGCACTTAATTGCCAAGCTTCACAGAGCTCTGATGTGGGTCTCTTGAAACAACCGACTGATCTGAAGACCACAAGCCCCACAGAGAGACTGGCTGACTTCTGCCAGTGTTGGTCTGAGCTTCGCTGACCATCAGTCTACTGATGTCCCATGCTTTATACACTTTGACTTAGTGATAAGCTAAAAGTTATGCTCCTGTGAGGTTAATGATCTCATCAAGATGAAGCCTACTGTGGGGCTTTAACAGTTCTTCTATGACTCAGAAAAGTAAGTTCACCTTACAAGTTCCACGTAGCCTCACTTTAAAATCTTGTGTTCTCAAGTGTTCACATGCTTTTCAGGAATACTGCCTTTGTCCTTTGGCCATTTATTCCACGTATTTGTGAGAAGTTCTTGACAAGAGGTAAACATTCCATGTTATGGTTTGTGTCTAGATGTCCCCCAAAGCCTCGTGCAGTCACAGGGTTTTTTCAGAGGTGGTTGGATCTAGAATGCTTGATGCTGGGACTGAGGATGCGTGATTTGTAAATCAGTCCACTGATTGATTTGGTGTAGTTTTGGCTATGCTACAATTAGGGTGCCCTGCATACAATATAAGGGACAGAAGGAGGCTTGTCTCACCCTAGTCTTGTTGCTTTGCTACTTTGTGCCCGCCATGAACTGTTCTCTATGATGGCCCTCTGCCAAGCCATCCTGCTTTGGACCCAGCCAATTATGGATTGAAACCTCTACAAACTGTAAGCCAAATAAACTTTTCTCCTTTAATCTTAAGTGTTGGGTATTTTGTCTTAGCAACGAGAAAAGTAACTAAGACACTCCACATTTGTTGTAGTGAGTTTCTTCCCTTCTCCGGCAAGAGAGAAGCCAGCAGTCCTGGGGAAAATTGCGGGGTTCTCTCTCACTTTGAGTCCTGCCTCGTGACAATCCCTGCAATTGCTTGAGAACACTAAAGGAAAGCATCAAACACATGGGCATAGTTTCTCAGTGCTTATTTCATTAAGAAAACAAAGCCTTAACTGATATAGCTTCAAAGTCTTTAAACATAAGTTGTCCTGAGATCTTCACTCAACTCTAAGACAGAGGATGTCACTACTCAGAACCAACTGATAAGAAGTTAGCACACCTATAAAAAATATACACACAATAGAAAATAGGAAATATACAAACTTTTAACTTTTATCTTCTGGAGTTTTTCTTTGATTTCTGTTCCATGGGCTTCCTCCCGAATCAACTTCCAAAAATCTTCATAGTCACTCATGTTCTTCAAGATCCCACATTTGGTCAACTCATTTTGCAACCCTATAATCTTATTTTTGAAGAGAGAAATATATATATGTATACATCACAGAGTGACATTTTTTAACGACCAATTTCAAGTCAGAGAATGATTAAAGAATTTAGGTGCTTTCTATCCAGTAATTTGCAGCTTATCTGGTCAAGAAAGGGTTACTTTCAACAGTAATTGACGCTAACACAAGTAACATCACACATTTGGACATCTCTGTCTCTAATTTCTGTGGACTCATTGACATTTTAAAATTAAAGGGAACAGGCTGGGCATGGTGACACAAGCCTGTAATCCTAGCACTCGGGAGGCTGAGGCAGAATGATTGTTGCAAGTTCGAGACCAGTCTGGGCTACAAAGTGAGCTCAAGGCCAGCCTGAACTGCATAGCAAGACTGCATCTCAAAAAGACAAAAAGTGAAATTAAGCTAAATTAAAGGGAATAATATGAACAGAGGTGGACTGTTATACTTCTTTTTAGCTCGTTAATAGCCACTAGGAATCACCGTGTGGGAATTCCTAGGAGAGGGCTGGTGGTGAGGAAGCTGCGGGAGGAAGAACCAGGGACACAAATTCCACGACAAGAGGATTAAGGTGGAAGGATACATTTCCCTGAAAGTTCATTTCCTAGTGCCAACTCCCTGTGAGCTGGGGAATCTGGAGTTACCAACCATAGTCTTTAAATCAGTTGTTTTGTGGGCTGTGCAGCTTGGAATAAAATGTGATATAGTGACCAGTTGAACCGAAAGTAGGCCCCAGGAGCTCCTACTCTTGCAAAAACAATTTCATCTCTCAGGCACTGAGGCAGGCACCCAAATGCCAAGGCCTGCTTCAGGAAGGATCATCTGACCTGTCCTTAAACATTGCCCCAGGAGAGCCCTCTAGGCCCCAGGGACTTTTAACTTGAGGGTCTCATTTTCCATTTTGCAAAAGTCAAAATTACAATACATTTAACTGTAACTCTAAATGGCTTTGTATATGATTCTAGAGTCAGGAGACTGAGCAGGGGATTGAGTCACAGACAGAACTGCTTGAAGAAGCAGAGGCAGGGAAGCAGCTGTGGATGGGCGACCCCAAGTTCCTTTCCTTGGAGAAGGAAAGGGATTCTCCGAGCCTGCTCAATAAGCTGGGGCCAACCTAATGGTGGCTGTGAATCTCCGTTTTTTAAAACTGGCTCAACACTGAGCTCAATTTGAGTAAGTGGCCCCTGGCACGGGTGACTCAGTACTAGTCGCTGGGACCAATGACTGTCTACGAATTTATATAACAAACCAATGAAGAAAAAAAAACAGGTATCGTAGGATTCTAAAAAGAATTGGCTGTGGATTTTTGTTTTGTTTTTCTTTGGGGATGATAAAAATGTAGTTCACATTTACCAGTGGTTCTGCCCCCAGTCTACTTTCTAGGGCAGAAATGAGCGGTTTATGCGACCTGGTTTTACGTGGAGAGTGACTGCCTCAGACACCAGGAGGTGGCCCTGGAGGTAGGGTCCTCCCTCCCTCTTCAGGAAGCGCTTTCATCCTTCCGAAACAGTGACTTTTAAAGGACAGGGAGATCTTCGGGAGATGCCTGAGGCATCCCGCGGAGGTGGGGAGGTTAGGGGTGGGGTGGGGTCCCTGGGGTCACCCCTTGCGTCCAGCCGGGGCCCAAACTGCCCAGAGCACTCTGCGGACGGGGCTCCCCAAGTTCCTGGATCATCCCGACCACGCAGCGAGCTCGTCCTCAGAAGGGCGGCGTGGAGCCGAGGACCTCCGGGCCTGCAGAGGGGCTGTCCAGGTCCTCAGCCCCGCGCTCTCGGGTCCTACCAGGTAGACGCTGGACCGCGGAGGCGACCGCAGGCGGCCCGGCTGGGGCGAGGCGTGGCGCGCGGAAGCGGGCAACTCTCGCGGCGCAGGCTTCAAACCCAGGCAGAGAAGGTGGTCGGCTTGGGGTCTGGTGGTAGCTGGGAAACAAAGCTGCAAACAAATGACAAGTAAACACCCAGCCACAGGAAGCCATTAAGAAGAGTGGGCGCTAATGAGCGCGCCGCGGGAACCCGCCGCCGGGGGCGCCCGGGCTGGCCAGCGAGGAGGGGCGCAGGGCGCGCGGCCGGAAGCTGGGGCGGTCTCCCTGGCTGGGGACAAGGGCGAAGGAGCCTGGGGACCCCAGGATCGGGTCCCTGCCTCACTCTCCTGCTCCAGGGTAAAGGACGCCTGGGATCGCTCTGGGAACTGCAGAGCGACCTCTGGGCGCGTTCCTCGGGGGAGCTTTTGAAGTCGTTTCTCGTAGAAAGCAACTCTTTTGAATCACCAGATGCTCCTTGGAGCCCCTCAAACTGCAAATCATGCTTTTAAAATTGTTTTTCTTTATTAAAGAGCAGTGATTTGTCAAGCAACCTCCTCATACTTTTCCTACTAAACTACTTGTGATAACAGAGTTGGTTTTGATTTTTAAATAAGTTTGTTTTGTTTAGATTTGTTTCGCGAGCCCCCCGCCCCATACACACGTACCCAAGGCCTTCACACTGAGCTACATCTTATTTTTTATTTTTTGTTTTAAGACTGGGTCTCGCCAAATTGCAAGGGCTGGGATGAAACTTGCGGTCGGATTATGGGGCGCTGGGACTCCAAGCGTGCACCACCACCCGCGTAAAGGACAGCTCTTTCCAGCACCCCGGACCCCCGCAGGCGCTGCTCCCGGGGGGTCCCATCTGCGCGCGGTCCCGACGTGCCCTCCCACCGCTCCGGGTCCTCACGCGGCAGCGCCCAGCGGTCAGCCCAAGTCCCCGGGGGGCGAGAGCGTCCACTCCCCGCCTCCCTGGGTACCCGGCCTCTCCGGCAGCCCACGTCCTCCAGGTGCAGCGGACCACACACCGAGCGGGGCCTAGGAACTTAGAGCGACGCAAGGGAACTGCGAGCCTCTGTGCCTTTTATGCGTGTTTGTCTTGGACATTTTAGGAAGTACGTGGGAAAGTGGTGTTGGGGTAAATGTCAGGTCTACACTACATGTCTGAGCGAGCAAGTGTTCGCTAAGCACCATCTAAGCCTCCAGAGTTGTTTTTCCATGATCTCCTCCTTTGTGAAAAACTCCCTTTATGGGAAGAAGATTAATTACAAAGACATCCTCACGGAAGCACTGGCAAAATTAAGGAGAGGTCCACTGATTTCCCAGAAGGTGTCACATCAGACCTTGAACCTCCTTGCCTGACCAATTAACCCTGACAGGCACTGGAGTGAAGTGTGTGGAAAGAAAGGTGATTCCACTGTCTTCTGGACTGTGTGTCCCTTTAAGTCTCTGTCACTTTTGTCCTTCCTGGATGAGAATTAATTCAAATACATTTTCATTTGTGTATTTCATGTGCTGTACCCTGAACGTTAGCTACGGTAACACGATTAAGTTTCTATAATGAAATCACCATCTCATTGACTAATTGAATTAGAACTCAAAGTACATAAGTATAATACAGGACATATAGGTACTAATTATTATTTTTAGTTTTAAAGCAACAGTACTGGTCCTAGGCTAAAACTTCTAGATAAAGTGAAATGGATGACATGGCCTCTTATAGATCTGAAACTTTAGACCCCCTAGTAATTTTGATTTCAAATATCACATTACTATACGTGCACTTTTTAAACCCTAACTGTTTAGAATGGCAGAAAATAAGATCACAGCTTTCTGTCCCATCCAACTTCACTTCCAGACCAACTTCCCACAAACCTCACCTGTTACCTGCTTCTGTTAAGCCTTGCACTAGAAGAGCAGAGTCCCAAACAGAATAATCGTCCAACTGAACAACCAGCATTCCCGAGGAAGATAGGCAGCATTCTACTTTTCCTGTCTTTTTCTTTCTCTAGCCATCTAGAAACCTTTTACTGTTTTTCCTTTGCCTTTCATTGTGAGTGGGTCTGGGCGCTCCCAGAACATGGCAGGTGTCCAGGTAGATTTTCCTTACACAATTCTTGAGTCCCCTGGAAGCTTTTCCCTTGTTTTTGAGGAAGAATTCACTTGCATTGATCTCCCAGAATGTGTCACATCAGACCTTCAACCATATAAGAAGTTCCATCCATCTCCCCAGGCACCCGTCGATTCACCCTTCACTAGTCCACCAGGGCTGGCCACTGGCTAAGACAGAAGTTCCAACCACGCAAACACTGGAAGTCAGTGAAAAGGTAATTACTGCAGGAAATGTCAACTCTCAGCCATTAGAAATTATAATATCTACATACTGGATTTTCTGTACACCAGATTAACCGTGAAAGTATGACCCTTTCTTTCAAATCAGTATTTTAAAGGAGCATGCAGACATATCTAAATATAAAATTGTTTTTTTAAAATATTTCAGATTATGACAAATCACCTCAAATTTGGAAGAGGTTAAAAAAGCAGATGATAATTCTTGTGGGTGTCAGATGGTGACACTTTAGCCGGCCCATCAATGCATCCCCTAGGTGGAAATATTTAGGGAGACTCACTGCTTACTTATTTTAGTTGAACTAGAATCCAAAACTAAGGTTGAAGAGCTAGTGAAGTCACATGATGAATTTCTGCCAATTAGAGTTACAGATTTCTGCCCAGTGGGAAAGATAACCCCAACGTAGCGGTCTATCTTCTTGTAGAGCACTCTGTGCCTCACATCCTCCTTTGAATCAGTGTTAACATTTAATTTATCCCCTTATTAACTGTTTAATTGGATTAAATTTATTTATTTCTTTATTATGTCACTGGGGATTGAACCCAGGAGCTATGTAGTGAGCTACATCCCTAGCTCTTTTTATTTTTTATGTTGACATGTGGTCTCATAAGTTGCCCAGGCTTATGTGATTTTTTTTTGGAACCAGGAATCAAACTCAGGACCTTGTGCTTGCCAGGCAGGTGCTTGTGCCACTGAGCTATATCCCTGACCTTACATTTATTTTTTACTTGTGTGAGAATCATGTTTTTAACTTTTTGAAAAGTGTCTAAATTAAATTTTCTAGAGGAATTGAAATTTTTCATGTACAAGTCCATCATTTCTATTCCCTTATCCCTGGGTCCTCATCCTGATTCTGCCGTGTGCCATCTGCAGAGAGGAGAATTAATCTTGCCCCTCTACAGCATAGACAGCTATGAAGCTTAATGCAACCTGTTACTCTTAAGTATGTACTTGCAAAGTTACATACTCATGTCTGTGCACGCTATCAATTCATGTACATTTTGGGTGTAAAGTTTTATCATTTCACATGTACTGTTTTTAAATGTCATTTTCTTATAAATCTTTTTTCATTATATATAAAGGTTTTTACAATTCTGTTCAAGTAAGCTTATTTACTGTTTCTCCGGTTGTATCATTTATATCTCCAATAGGCAGAAATTAACATTTCTTCCACCACTGAGATGAACAAAGTCTTCCACTGTAAACAACAGGCTCCTCCCACTCACCTCCCTTGTAACTGGACAAGGTGCATGAGGGATAAATCAAAGTGAAGGCATTGGTTCCATCTCACACCCTTTCTCCATAGCGTTTTGCACAAGGTTTGTTACATATTAAACTTATATACATTTGCTTTCCTTCTGGATTGCAGAGTCCTGGGTCTAGCAACTCCATACTGGTCACTGTCACTGCGTAATATATTCTAAAACTGTCACCAGTGCCCTTTCATCGCCTCACTTGACTGAGCTTAACCTGAGAAGGAGCCCAGGACAGCGGCACCAGGAGGAGGCATGCTGAGGCCTTTTCCCAGAACTGCATGCAGCCCCAAGCTGAGTCCTCTCCCTCTATCCCAAGTCCTGATCGTCTTTTCTCTCCTTAACAGCCACTGACATCAACTGTATCTGACTGCCTGTGCCGCTGCCACCTCTGTCTCTCTCCTGTGGCCTGGATTACCTTGCTTTGGACATGGAAGTGCCGCTGATACCCACAGACAGCCTGACTCCCCAGGAAGGTCAGAGCAGAAGCCAACTCCATGCTTACTGCTTTGAGCTTTGAGCTCTTGTCCATTTCTCAGAATGTCCCTCCAGATGCCCACACAACCTGACTCCTTGCTGAAGCAGCTCTGTTTGCTGGATGACTGTTGTAAGTCCCAAGCAGCTAAATTACAATGCATCGTGAGGCCATCCAATGTCAGAAGTCAATTTTCAAACTGTGTTTGAATGCGGAGCCTTTCTTTGCCCATTGTCACCTACTAAAGACCTTAGCCTCAGAGCCTGAGAAATGACAGGAAAAATCTGATGGCATCCACTTAAGAAGCTTACAGTAGCTAGTGAGACCTAGACATCCTCCGCTCTGTGCCATCTCCCTCCCAGCTGACCACACCCCATTCCCACACTAATGCATGTCCTGAAATCTGGAAACTGAGGCTGAAGGGGGAGAAAGCCAAGAAAGCCTAAAACTTAGGGTGCCAACATCCAGATTTCCTCTCTCCAGTCTCTGCGTACTTTAAACTCTGCACCAAATCTTCCCGAATCAACGCAGGACGAGTTTCTACCAGAGCAGTGCAACTCAGAGCCGTGACGCTCTTCCTGGGCTGCACACACAGCACATGTGCCTCGGTCTCCATCACACCCGCTTCTAGTTAGCAAGGAAATAGACTCATTTGGTGGTCAAACTTCGTGGAGGACAGTTAGAATACACAATGATCTCGGCAGCGGCTCCTCTACTCAGCAAAGGGTGGAGAGCAAATGTGGGACCGGACAGGTTCTGTGCTTGCTACGAAATGATTTCTAAAGTACAATTCTCACATCTTCGGTTCTGAGAAAAATGAAGCCACCAAAACATTACATTATAACCTTTAAGATATTCGGTGAGTGAGTCTCAGAGAAAATTTTTTGTCAAAAAACAAAACAAGGCCCCACAAAACCACTTCACTGCTTGCATCAAAAAAGTAGGTACCAAGATTATTAGATTTTCTGAGATTATTAAACACTTTAAATCTTTGCATTAAAGTTAGATTTTTTCTATCTTTACTTTTCATAAGTATCATTTAAAAATAATTTT